GGCATCTCCTCTTCCATCCCCTGCAGTCTGTTCCCTGCCTCCTCCGCGCTGTGGGGCCTAGATATTTGAGAAAGGACAAAACATGGGCCTGGGACCTCGGCTCTGACTATGACCAGCTGGGTGACCTTGGGCAGCTGACACTTCTCTGTGCCTTAGTGTCTTCCTTGACAAAGTGGCCGTTAAGGTAGGGTTATTGGGAGGATTAAATGGGCTCCTGTTGTCTGGTGCTCCGTGGCACCTGGCCCATGGTAGGCACTCGGTATATCCAAGGCAGGCATTACTAGCCCATTTCCCAGAGGCATACACTGAGGCCAGGTCAGTCATGACTGGGAAGTCTCGGTCCCAACTCTGCTCTACTCAGGATCGGCACAGCAGCTTCACGTAGTGCATCTTGAACTTATTTGGGGAAAAAGAGAAGAATCAGGATGATCAGGAAAAATAGGGGAGCATCTGACTCCTATCCTGTCCTCCTCACTTCAGGAACCCTTGGGCTGTCTTGGTCCTTCAGGCCAGCTGTTGACAAAGAGCCTGGAAGGTCGTCCTGGCAGCTGGGGCTGAAACTGCACACACGCCTCCAGGCCTCTGGGGGTCCCCAGACAGCTGTGCCGTTTTGACTTTTGTTCCTAATGCTTATGCGGTCAGATCATGAAATCAACTGTTGTATCTTGAGCACCTACTATGTGCTAAGTACTTTAGCAGAAATAACATCTAATGCCCTCCACCATCCCTCTGGGAGGTAGGCAGTCACTGTTATTTATCACTCCCATTTTGCAGAAGGAAAACTGAGGCTGGGAGACATTACATCACATTGCTAAGCTCTCCTAGCTGGGGAAAGAGTCCAGGAACCAGTGTGCGCCCCCCCCTTCCCCCCCCAGAGATGGAGGTGGGCTGGGTACCAGGAGGCAGAGGGAAACAGACCCCAGTAACAGCCACCAGTCCCGCCGGAGAGACGGCTGGAGAGAGAAATCCTGAGCCTCGCGTCCAGCAGCCTCTGGGATGTGATGGGCCCTCAAACTGGAACTTGCCTCGTTTTTAAAAATACGTGTTTTCCACATTACAACACAGAGGAGCCTGGGAGACATGATGCCGAGTGAAGGAAGCCAGACACAAAGGGCCACATGTTGTAGATTCCAATCACATGAACCGTCCAGAACAGGCACACAGACAGAACGGAGGTTGTGGACGCCAGGGGCTGGGGAGGGGAATGGGGAATTACGGCTCATGAGTGTGAGGTTTCTTCTGGGTGATGAGAATGTTCTTTTATTTTATAATATATATTTTTAAAACATGTGTTTTTATTGATTTCACAGAGAAAAAGAGAGAGAGAGAGAGAGAGAGAGAGAGAGAGAGAGAGAGAGAGAGAAACATCAAAGATGAGAGAGAATCATCGCTCGGCTGCCTCCTGCATGACCCCTACGAGGATGGAGCCCCCAACCCAGGAATGTGCTCTGACAGGACCTTGACCTCCTAGTTCATAGGCCAACGCTCAACCACTGAACCACACTGGCCGGGCTGATGGAAATGTTCTAACAAGGAGTCTGGTGTGGTTACACAGCTTCACAAATATATCAAAAGGCATTGAATTATACACTTTAAATGAGTGAATTGTATATGTGAATTATATCTCAGTGAAGCTTAATTTAAAAAAGAAAACACAATAGGGCAGAGGTTCTCAGAGGTGGTGCTTTGTGGACTAATGCAGTTAATAAAATCAGACAGTGCTGAGAACAACACGGCGGTGCCCTCTGGAGCAGGGCACGGTGTCTGCCTTCTCCCCCATGCCACCCTCTCCCCGAATCTACCCTGAGCTGGTTGGTGCTCAGAGACCCCGTATTCCCTGGAGAAAGTGTAACACCTCAAGAGCTCGTTAGGGAATCCGGGGGCAGGCCGCAGTCCCCTTTATATTAAAGAGCCCTGGAATCCGCTCCCCTTTTGTCCTTTCCTCATTAACTGGCTTTCTGTAAAGGTAATGGCCCTATTCCCTAAAGGAAACAATAGCCTTTGTCCTGCTCAGTCTGTGGGGCCCGTGAGCTCTGAGATGCTGCCACGTTGGAGGGGTTGGGGGAGGGTGGGGGGGATGGATATTCCAGGCCTGGTCCTAATATAGTGTTTTAAATGATGCCTGACCCCAACTGGACCTGCGGTCCTGGCAGAGAGAAGGCACGGTGCATGCTCTGGCTCGCGGGCCTGCTTTTTATTAGTGAGGAACAGGAAGCTCGGCTCCGCGGGATGAGGAGAGACGGCCCTCGGCCTCCGCCCAGTCTGTCGGGGAACCTTCGCCTCCACCTAAACCGAGGCCGTCGTGAGCTAATCCACAGTCACAGCGCTTCCTGCGTCTGGCAGCCTCGCCCGCCTGTTAATATTGCCCAGCGGGAAGAGCTAGGACAGAGGGGCGGGCATGGGTGCCCTCCTGTTTGTGGCATGTGGCCTGGCACACGATGTGCTAGGGAACATGGACAGCTGGGCAGGCACGATTCTAGGGCTCCACTGGTTGTGAGGTACCCACTGCTGCGTAACAAACGGCTACAGATTCGGCCGCTTCCAGCCCATTATTTACCATCACGCACTGCCGCTGGTCCTCCGTCCGCTCAGGGCCTCACAGGCGGCACGGCCAGGTGTGTCCTGGCTGCAGTCCCACCGGCAGATTCATTCCTGTTGTCAGCAGAACTCATTCATTCCTGTAACTGGGGGCTGCTGTGAGCATTCGGGGTTTTGTGTGGACACATGTGTTCGGTTTTCTTGTGTATCTGCCTGGGAGAGGGTCTGTGGGGTCCTATATCAATCCTAGCTTTGATCTCTTGAGCAATTTCCAGGCATTTCTACGCCATCTTACCACCCCACCAGCAGGGTAGGAGGGGGTCGCACAGCGTCCTAACATGATTTTGATTCGTTGCCAACACTTAATAATCACGTGGGGGCAGCTTTTAAAAATAGATGCCCCATGCCAATACCGGTTTGGCTCAATGGATAGAGCATCGGCCTGCGGACTGAAAAGTCCCGGGTTCGATTCCGGTCAAGGGCATGTACCTTGGTTGCGGGCACATCCCCAGTAGGGGGTGTGCAAGAGGCAGCTGATCGATAATTCACTCTCATTGATGTTTCTAACTCTCTATCCCTCTCTCTTCCTCTCTGTAAGAAATCAATAAAATATATTAAAAAAAAAAAAAGGATTAGAAAGGTTCCTTAAAAAAAAAAAAAAATAGATGCCCCGTTTCCTCTCGAAAAAATCAGATCTGGCAAGATGGAGCTCGAGTCCCTCCATGCAGCCATCCCCCTGGTGCTGAGAGAGGCTGCCCTGCATGCTCACCCACCCGGTGCCTGGCTTATGGCTTACCCTCCTGGCCCCAGTAGGATGTGTGCTTGAATCTCCTGTCCCTCCTGTTCCCACCCCTTTCAAAACCTGCTCCCCTTGAAGGCCTAGTTCACATGCTGCCTGCTCCAGGAAGCCTGCCTGGATTTCCCCAGACCCGTGGAATCGTTCATTCTGAAACCCCTACAGAGCTTGTCTTCTGCACCCCTTCCTGCCCAATAGTCGTCTCTCTTCCCACCCCCTGTTCTCTGATTAAAAGCTGTGCATTTCCCGTCCCTGATTGCATTGTAACAGCCAATTTTTCCCCTGACTACTTGGGTTCAAGTCCCAAATATTGCCTGGAGCTGGCTGGACGGGTCATCGTCTGACTCATGGCGAACATAGCAGCCCTGACAGTTTCCCAGGATGAGTAGGGCGAGGCTGCAAGAGCAGCTGAATCCTGCCAGGGTGGGATCTGCAGGGGGGCTCCGGGGTCCCTGCCATGGTGACGCCCCCTCCCCGGGTCCCCAGCAAGCCTAGGAGTGCGTGAATGACGTGCACTGGGCCAAGGTGCGGCCTCCTCCTGGCTCCAGCCTAAGCTGCCAGCACGCTTGTGGGATTTGCGGGGGCTGTGGTCTGGGCTGCGTCACCATATGGATCTCATAAATTAAAGCGTTCCCGGAAACGAACGGTAAATTTATCCGTCTCTCACACATAGGGCTGCTGGAGCCTGTGCTCACCCAAGGAATTCTGAGCCATCCATCTCTCTTAGGCACTTTGGTTTTATAGCTCTAATCCCTGGGGGGGGGGGGGGGGGGAATGGATCAACATGAAGCTGCTTTTCTACAGCCGTGCTGGCCCTGGAGCGTGTAATCAGGAAATGGGGGTGGCCTGTCCCCGGGACTGGCCCCGAGGTAGCTGTCATTGGTTATACTCAGGCCCTGAAGCCCACCAGGGCCTCTGAGGTCGGAGGGGAGAGCCCCGAATCTGAAGCCCTGGGCGCACCCCGCCTTGGCACCCTCAGGCTTCCGCCACCCCCTCTCAGAGCCTCAGTCTCCCCAGATGTGAAAACTAGCATAGTCCAAGTTAAAAAGACAGAATGTACAACAGTGGTCTCGGGGGGCCGAGGGAGGGAAGTAGGGCGTTGGTGTTTAAAGGGGAGAGAGTTTCCATTTGGGATAAAGAGGAAGTTCTGGAGTAGGACGATGGTGATGATGGTTGCTCAACATTGTGAGTGAACTTAATGCCACTGAACTGTACACTTAAGAATGGTCAAGATGGTGTATTTTGTGTTACGTATATTTTACCACAATTTTTAAAATACGGAAAAGGGGTTTTGGGCGATGACTACCCCGCTGGATGAGCTGAAGATGAGTAGGTTTATCTTTATGGCTGTAACTGCCTAGTAGGCGGTGATTGCCAGCTCCATGCAGAGCTGCATGGGCTCGGGCAGTGACAGGCCCGTGGATAGAACCAGTGTCCAGCGGTCGGCCTGGTGCTCCCGGGCAGGCTTTGCTGCTAGAGGAAGCCATTGCACTGGCTTTGCTGGGAACCAGGTCTCCACTGCCCCTCATCAGTTGGGCTGTCCCGCCTGCACAGACCTGGCCATCGGTGGGGAAGAAGGTGTTCAACAGCCCACGGGTCCCACCCATGGGGCATCTCCAGGCAGGCATGGCCAAGACTCACCACGTCTACCCTCCTGTCATTCCAGGTCACCACTGCATCTCTCGAGGCACCGGCAGCCGCCCGCCCTCCCACTCAGGAGCCCGAACCCTGGCCGGGGACCCCAGCAGAAAGCCTGCTCAGAGGCCCCAAGTCCGCCCCGGAGCCGGGGCCAGCCCGGTGTCAGCAGAGCAGCCTGGACGGGGCCGGACCAGACCTCGCGGGCACAGGTAGGTGCCAGTCTCTTTGTATCTTTGGGGATTGGAGTGGATGGCGCTGCCTTGTCAGGGAAGGGCCCCCAAAGCCAGTTCTGGCTCAGGGTTCCGCCCCAGGAACGCCACTTTCTGGCAGAGAGCCTGGAGGCAGAGTCTTCTCTGCTTGAGTTTGGATTTTTTTGTTTTTGTTTCTGTCATCCTCGGGGATGAAACCAAATGGTGATTCAGTCAGAATCCCTGCTCATCCTTGGTTCACAGACAGCCTTCGTTTGTGGTGCTGTACTTATTTATCTCTGAGTGTTGTTATATGCACTCATTCGTTTTAAAAATTAATGTAATGGATACCCAAGAACCTGATACCCAGCCCAGGCATGAGGCGGCCCATCGACCTTGATGCTCATCCCCCCCCCCCCCCCCCCCAGACGGAAGCACCATCTCAAGTTTGCTTTTTCCATAGCACCTGTGTCTGTCCCACCGTCCTGTGGTGTAGCTCTGCTGAAGGTTTGAATTCTGTGTCCCAGGGGCAGGCTCCCCTTCCTTGGCATCTGTGGATGTCACAAGCTGCCACTCTGTCGTGCTGCCCTGTACTATTCCGTTGTGGCACTGCTCCACTCGCGTGTGCCCGCTCTCTGGCTGCCCATGGCACCCGGAGCATTCCTGGGTGTTTCGGTTGTGAGTGCACCCGTCTCTCACATGAGTTGATCTCAGCTGGGCCAGATGGGGTAAGGACATTATCTTTAGGAAGGGAATGTCCACTGGTTTCCGCTGTGGGCCTTTCACTCCCACGCTGCCAGCCACAGAGACCCTGCCTGCCCCTCTCGGCACCGCCGGGCAGCCTCAGTTTCCCGATGACAGAGAAGCTGGCCCCTCCTTGGCTGAGGGGCCTGTGAGTGGGCATCCCAAGGCATTGGTTGTGGGGCCCGTGGGCCTGGGGTGGGGGCAGTGAGTGGGTCCCAGGTGGGGCCCTTTAGCTGGACTTCGGCATGTGGTGGACACCCACGTTCTTACCCAGGAGGGTCCCTCGGGCCATATTTCTGTCAGTTGAGGGGGTTCCTGTGTGTGTCCTGCCTTGTGGCTGCCCCTGAGAGGACTGAGTCCCGAGACCCCAGCCTGCCTCTCTGTGCTGGCCCACTGTGTGGGCCGCTGGCTGGAAGCTCGGCTTGTTCGAGGAGTGAGCTGAGCTGGGAGGAGTCAGGCTAGCAGGTAAGGGGGGCGGGAGGGAGTGTTAAGGCAGCTGGCCTGCCCTGTTCTCATGTCATGTTGGGACCCTATCTGGGGCATTCATCTCCACGGCAACCCCAGTACCACCTCTTTCTCTCCGTGATGTGGACTCAGCTAGGAAAGGGGCTGGGCTTCAGGTAGGGGCAGACCCTGCTGACCAGAAGCTTATGGGCAGATGGGGATGCTGGTCAGGTGGCAAGGGGGGGCTTGCAAGTGGTGGGCAGGGATGCTTTTGGGGGAGCCATTCCCCACCGGCTCCCCAGCACACTCAGAGCCATGGACGAGTGTCTTCTCCCATTCCATGCCTCAGTTTTCTCATCTGAGAAATGGGGATGGAGGCTAATGTGAGTGCCTGCCTCACAAGGCAGGAGGTGAGAATGAATTAACAGGGACATGAAGAGCATTCAGTGCAGGCCCTGGCACCCTGGATGCCCATATGTGCTGGCTGGTGTCAGCACTATTGTCATCATAATTCCCAATTACCCAGCTGGCGCCTCCTCCAGGCAGCGTGGAGCATCCCTGAGGCTGTTACTGTGACCTGCCTTCTCGCCCCAACCGCCCCTCAGCTCTGGGTAATAACCTTCTAAACCATGACCCTCAGTGACACTACCTAACCCTCCCAGGCTGGCACACACAAGGCCCAGCCCCCTGCCCTGGGGCTGCCTGGGGCAGGGCAGGGGCGCAGGGCCCACGCCTGCCAGCTGCTCCCCATCAGGCAGCCCTGCCTGTAGAGGAGGGGGTGCAGCTTCCCAGCCAGAGACCCACCAGGAACTCCATCCTGCTGTCAGGCCTCTCCCGGGGAGGCCACTGCTGCTCAGAAACGTGACAGTGACTAATGGTTTATTACACACCTGCCACCTCTCATCCGGTGGGCGGGCACAGCCCTGGGCCAGCTATGCACTTGCCAGCTGCACAGCGGGGCAGGCACAGCGTGTGAGCACGTTCAGACATGTGGACACACATGAGCACAGGGACACACAGGGCAAATGCACCATACACAAGGATACCTGCGCAAACACGTAGATATTCACAGGCACACACATACATACAGCTACACACGCACACGCAGGCAACACGATTCTCTTACACACACACACACATACACACACACGCATGCACGCACACACAAGCAGGCAACCCTGTCACTTCCTCTCTCCAGAGCTCTGAATCCCTCTGTCTTCTCCTCTGTTCCCCCTGCCCCTGCAGTGAGGACAATATTGGAGCAGGGCCTTTTGGAGAAGGCGGGGGGTGGGGGGAGGGTGCTGTGAGCAGGTCAGGGGATGCACCTATTGCCTTGGAGCGTAATTACCCACTGCAGTCCCTCAGTTCCCCATAAATGGCTGATACGTGGGGACAGTAGCAGCATTTGCTCTGGGAAGAAGCCGTCACACCAAGAACCCTTGTTATGGGCCCGGTGGTTCGGTCAAGTGCCCACAGAGACACAGAGACACACAGCCAACCTGCAACCTGTTCTCTGGCGCAGCTTTCTGAGTGCCCGCCCGGGTGGTCACCTGCTGGCTGCAGGGAGTGTGGCTCCAGGCTGCAGGGGAACTGGCAGGCAGGGCACACACCTCAGGCTGAGCATCTCCTCCAGCGGGTGGGAGAAGAGGGCAGCCAGACTCCTGCCATGAGGCATCCTTCCCGTGTCTGGCCGCCAGCTCCCAGCTCAGCGCTTCCCAATATTCTTAAGCGTTTCGTCAAAGGGAGATCCATTTCTCATGTGTCACTTGCATGTGGTATAAAATCCAGCGGGAGGACACTCCTAATTCATCATCTCTGATGGGAACAGGCATTCCTGAACAATTGTCTCCGTGCTGTCACAGCCTCCGTAGGAGACATGCAGCGCCATCCGGGAATAAGCAGGGGTGTGGCTTGGTGTCAGAGACCCGGGTTCAAGTTCCTAAGTCTCGGCACTGCCGATTCCCAGCCACGGGACTTTGGCAAGGTTGGGAGAATTCCCAAAGCTTAGCAGCTCCCAGCCAGTGTGATACCAACGAAATCTTCCTTGTAGCACGGTGTTAGTGATGGGATGGACGCCACGGAGGCACCCAGGGCTGCCGTGCAAGGTTGTACAGGTTGCACACGGCACAACTCCAGGGGGTGCCATTCTCATTGTGGTCTCTGTAAATGTGCTCCCGGTGTGGCCATGAGGGCTGCTGTGCTGACCAGCTGAGTGGTGGCCCCTGAATGGTGCCATGTGGGCTCTGGAAGTCCTTTCTGAGCTATGGGATGGCTTTAAAAGTGGCTAATAATATTGTTATTAGTCCTGGCCAGTGTGACTCGGTTGATTGGGCATCGTCCATGCGCTAAAAGGTTGCTGGTTCAGTTCTCGATCAGGGCACATGCCCAAGTTGCATGCAGAAGGTAGTTGATCTATGTTTCACTATCACACCAATGTTTCTCTCTCTCTCTCTCTCTCTCTCTCTCTCTCTTTCTTTCTCTCTCTTTCTGAGAAGGTCTCCCTTGGAGCGGGTACTTGGTACTGTCTCCGCTCCTCCTGAGCTTTGGTTTTAGGCAGACAACCTCTGTGCCCCTCCCTCCCTCCCTCCCTCCCTCCCTCCCTTCCATCCTTCCTCCTCTCCTCCCTCTGCCTTCCTCTCTCTCTAAAAATCAATAAACAGTCTTTTTTGTTTGTTTGTTTTAATGTCTTCATTACATTGAGATAGTGGAAGCCACAAACCCTTGGATGGGGTCGGGTTCGGGTCACAGAAAACCAGGTGGAGGTCGAGTCTCCAGTTAGAGCCATATTCCTGGGGCCTGGACGCTGAGTGTTTATAGGAGCCGATGCCCATCCTGGGCCACTTCGGTTTTCTCCTCCTCTCCCCTGTAGCCGTGTGTTTAAATGAGTGCTTGTTGGGTGTGATTAGGGTGTGGACTCTTCAAGCATGCAGATCCCGTGCTCCCTTAGTTCAAATCCTGCCTCTACTCTTCCTCTCTGTGCCTCAGCTCCCCCAGTTCTGAGGATCCCAGAGTCGATCCCTGCCCAGTGCTCAGCACAGTGCCTAGCACATGGGAGCAGCCGAGACCTGAGCTGGTGACCACTCCAAGCCCTGGCCCCACAAAGGCCTTTGTCTCTTTGTTGGGCAAACAAGCTCCCAGCTGGCCAGGGTTGGGTCTCCTTGGCCAGGAAGGCAGGGCCTCCACTTGGATACTTGGCTCAGGCCCCCAGAAGTCCTTGGCAGATCTCCCTTGGAGCGGGTACTGGTGCTGAGTGCTTTGATGCAGGCGCTGGAGGGCCTCGGCCCCCGCTGCCAGGCGGCAGCTGCTTGGAGGGCCCGGGCGGCCGGGTTTGGCTGCAGCCTCTCCAGCCCAGCGGATAAGCGCCCTCTTCCCAGCTCTAAGGGAAAGGCGCCTCATGCAGCATGAGCACAGCCCTTCTCTGTCACCCTCTCCCTGTGTGTCTGCAGCCCAGCTAGTATCCAGAGTCCGTTTTCTCTCCGACTAGCGCTGTGTTTATCTTCTCAGGAACTTCTTGTGACACTGGGGAGCTCAGAGCTCGCAAGTCGGGGCAGGAGGCCTGGAAGCCCAGGCAGGCTGCAAGGCTCTTCCCTTGTAAGCCGATCTCGCCCCAGAAGCCTCTTTGAGTGTTTATTGGGACTCACTGTGCTGGGCCCCCCTCCGTGCTGGGCCTTCACGATGCTTCCCGCCTCTGCTGATGACTGCTCCTGCTTACCCAGGTCTGGCTGCTTTCAGCTGGTCCCCTTGGCTAGTGTGCGACTTTGTGTGTCTGTCTGTCTGTTTGACGGATTCAGATTTTCATGAAATAAGAAAGAATGTACCTTTGGCAATTGAAC